AGTAATAAAGAAACAGGTTTTCCCCTGGTTCCTGCACTGGACCATGATGGCTTTTTCCCTAAGCACTCGCTCTCCCTGCTTCTAGGCTGCTGTTTTCTCATCTTATTTAATGTTCTACTAAACATCATTCAAGGGACTACAGGTAACATTTTGAAGAAATCTTACTGTTCTCACGGGCTTGAACTGTATTCGTTTTGGAGGCGAAGAAGCACGCATGAAATCAGAGCAGTTCTTGGGTCTGTCTGATTGTTTTCATGGCTGGTTTTGGTTTTTCCTATCAGAAATTCCTTGAAGTGGTAGATTGCTTGTGACTTTAATTCTATGCCTGTTAATATGCACTGAGTGTTACTTTTTTAATTCTACCTCATGATATGCTGTTTTTTACAAGAGTATTGTGCTGAAACATTGGACACTAACCTTTCTGTATAAAGAGCTGTTACCCCAAAGTGATACATGTCATCACATCTAGATACTACCTGCAATGCACGAGAGTGGTGGGTTGACCAGCCCTGCCCAGCTCTGGAAACCAGGGCCCCTGAGGAGTGTAGGACTGATGCTAAAAGTTGACCTGGTTAAGGGGTTTGATGATAACATTGATGCTTTTGTAGTGTGTCCAGCAGATGTGTATTAAGATGGATTCTGTCCGTGTATGCTGTAGAAATGTTACTTAGTTCTTCTGATTACATTTGTAGTAAGTTTGAATTAGGATAAGTAGGTAATGTTAGATTTTGGTGATTTGATTACTCCTTTTCAACAACACTTCGAAATTTTCAATGAAAGTTAATCTATTTTACCAATGAAGTTCACATAACACTTACTGAAACACTATTCAGTAGTTCATAACTGATAGCCTTGCAGTTGCATCTTGGTGGAAGAAGTGATTTTCAGTTCTTTCTGAATATTACATTGCCTTATTGAATGAATGAAGTAATTTGTTGATGAGCTTTGGATTATTTCTAGATAGTCCAAAAAAAGGTTTATCTTACTGTTATGTTTCAAAAGATGAATCCTTAACCTTCCAGAACTATATAAAACAGTCTGAAACAAATACAAGAAACTCTTTCAAATGGTAGATGAAAGACTGTACTAACAGCAGAGTATTGTAGTGGCTTATACCAGAGGTTTCTTTAAATTGTTTTACTTTCAACCACTGAATTGTTAACATCACCTGACAAATTTTACAGTATTTCTACTGAAGATAGAGCTCTCCATTTGATTGTAAAGCATGCAGTATGTTTTTTAAATGCATGGTTTCATATTCATTAACTTCTGCAGTAAAAGAATTCCTCCATTCACAGCATGGCTGATCAGCAGAAGCAGATAAGCTGCATAATTAAGATCTCTATAGGAATGTCAACGTATAGCAGTGTCTACAGGAACCAAACTAGTGTTTGAAGCTAGCAGTCCTTTTGTAGTAGTCCAGTGACTTTATGTTGTGGGAGTAAATGCATTTTCTGAGTATTCCATTAGCGGTCAGTCTTTAAATCGCTGCAGCACTCTTAGACATTTGTGGGGAGGGGGAGAGAAATGATTAATGGGACTACACAATGACATTCATGTATATGTACTTTCTCTGTATGAGGAGGGGGTGTGTGTGTGTATTTCAGCATATATGCAGCCATGGGGCATCAGTCCATTTGTCAAACATGGGTAGTTCAGGGAAAAATGCAACCTCCAAACAGAACTATTGGGGATAGGAAGCACAGGGATATAGACAGACACACACCCACATTTGTTTGCACTCTTGGAGTCTTGGTAAGGACAATTTGCTTGCCTACTACCAGAATTAGAATGTAAACATCTTTTTTTTTTTTTTTTTTTCTGGGGTTTTGGGGGATAGGGCTGGTGGTTGTTTTTGGTGGGGTTTTTTTGTTTGTTTGGTGGTGGTGGCTTCTTAATTTGGGTAACACTGATGTGGAGAAGGTCCTGATCCCATAAAACATGGGTCTGTTGCTCTATGAAATGTGAACTCTTAAAAAAAGAAGTACACTTGCCAAGTGAAAGCTTCTAAAACATCTAGTTTACAAGATTCTAAAAAGTTGGAGTAAAAGAAAAAAGTCAACAGCCCATATTTTTTGTCCTGCAGGAAAAAGAAACTTCTCATTTCCAGATCTTAGTCAAAGGTGCATTTTCTTAAGCACTAAGTATCTTCAGTTAAGTATAAGGTTTTTAATACAAGAACAAATTGTGCATGTAGAGTATTTTGAAATACCTGAGATTTCATAGTAAAAATTGTAGCCTTTTAATACAGTATAGAAAGTATCACTCTGAAAATATTGTACTTACAGCCGTGCAGTAACTTACTATTTGTGGACAGTTTCTCTTGCTTGCATAATAAATTAAACCTTTACTAAGTCAATGAATTAAAAGCTATTTTAATGTATTTGTCTTACACTGAGCTGTGTTCTGTAATGCTTATTGGTTCTTGCCTACTCCCTCGACCCAAGAGGAAAAGAAGAGTGCTTAGAGCAAACCCACCTCTGTACGCAGGTTTCTTTGCAGTATTGCTGTTATCATGGCTGGTGGAATTCCCCTTCCCTTCTTTAGCTGGAAATGATTGTTGTAGTCTACCAAGAAGAACAACTGAGGCACCAGCAGTCATTTTAAAAATTCTGCTTCAGAGGTTGGTCAACCTCACTGTGAGTCCCAGCTGCAGGTTTTTGGAGAAGGCAGCAACTGCAGCCTGGCCCCTCTATCTGTTCATGCCATGTCCTGGTTTAGTAGCGATGCAGTGGTGAGACAAGGCAACCACAGACCCAACGTCCCACGCCTGAGGTGTCCCATGGAAAACAGTGCTACCCAGCCAGGGAAGACAACCGAGGCCATGGTCACTTCTCTCTAATACGCTCTCCTTCACACTACCTACCGCAACCCTGCCCTGCACACAAGACAACACGTAGAAACACTGCTATTGAGTGCTTGGTTTGAAGATCTACTCTTGTCTGATCCTTGCCCAGTATCACTTGCATTCTTAAATTGCAACTGTATTAACTTGAGTATGGAGCCGAGGCAGCCTGGTTATACTGAGTTTGTTAAAGACTGTAAACAATCTTGAAATTTGCCTGAACAGAGTTGTTTCCATATTAGTTCAAGCATCACAACTCCTTCTGTGCTCTCTTCCCAGACCGGCAACACATCCTGTGTATAAACTACATCTCACACTTGTGTGTAACTTGTGTACCAAAACTCACTGGACTCCTCACTAATGATGAGTATCTGTCCTCTTACACATAAAACTTCTATAATTTGTTAAGCATACAATTCCTTTGATTGTGTTGTAAAACTGTCAGTGGTTATAAAGCAAAGCGATGACACTCGAGCACAGTTCTGTCAAGACAGCCCTGCAGTGCACTTCATCTAACCGTGCTACATAAGCAGAGACAGAAACACACCGCACTTTTTTCAGGACAGGACTGCACTTTTTTCTTTTTCCTACACTAATGCTAATCACCAATTAGTGGCGGGCCGATGCTAAACTCTTACCCTCAACTCTTCACATTTCTCACCATAAGAGAAGTATATAATATCTTCCACGGAAAAAGAGGATGCAAATTTTTTTTTATTCCATCAAGGAGCGATTACAAAAAACGGTACACTGGTAAAAATCAGATTCTGCCAGTAACAAACAAACAATAAACATTTTATTTAAATGCAGTTAATCACAACATTCAGATACAAGAATGCTCACTTGTGCCTGGCAATTTTGACCGTGAAGCAAGGGACTATATTATAATACAGTGATTAGAATCGATATTTGAGGACAGTTTAGCAAATGGAAAACTCAAAAGAAGTAATAGCCACTCCAAAACTTACAGAAAGACCAACTCAGACCAGTTTCTGAAAGCTTTCCTGCCCTTCATCACCCACAATATTTTGTTCCATGTATGTGTATAGTCTCATAAAATAAAGTCCCCCAGGACAATCAAATGCTTTTTGTTAAGACCCTCACCTCATTTATGGTCATGCTTTCTCTTCTGTCCCATTCTCTTAAGGGCTGAAGTCTTACATCTCTCAACTTCCTAGTCTGTAAGACACAAAACACTTTGTATTTCTGTAAGTCTTTTTCAATACTCACCTACAGAAGTCCTTAAACGTATCTCCAAATCTTTCCTACCTAGCTGCTTCTGAGGTCCTCTTTGGCTGTCATCTCTGCTACACTTACAGACCTCCACTGAAGTGGGCAATACCCAGACACCTCATCCTGTCAGTACCGCTGTACAATTCTGTCTTATGGGACTGTTAAGAGTACACATCAAGTAGGCAGAACTCCAAGGTTCAAGTAAAAATACCTTGTTGTGATCCATTATTCCACAGCCCAAATGAAACAGAAGTAATTTGCAAAAGAGAAAATACCTCAGTACAAAAGAGCTGTGTTTGTGAACTACTTTCACAGCTGCAGGAAGCTGAACTATTTCATGAGCATTACAGAAAAGGACATCTTCTTTCTGGCCCCACAGCTGTAAGCAACAGAAAAAGCAGCAATGCAAAAAAAAAAAAAGAACAAACTCCATGTTTACAAGTAGAAGGTTTTTTAACAAGGAAGGACACTTTAAAGCTTTCATAAATTTGTTGTTTCATTCCTTCCACTTTTCCGTTTCCACATGAAGGCACACATGTACATATACACAAACAGAGATCCCACTTTGAAGTGGAGTCAGCTTACACTGAAGTTAAACGTTCAGTAACCACTCTTACACTGCTGAATGAAATGTTTATCCTAAAGCCGAGCATCAAAACAGCTGTCAGAAGAGTTTGCGTAGGCTTAGCTTAAGCTTGAAGTTCTAAACTTCAGTCATCTTCATCTGGATCTGTCCTTTTAGCTTTAAACTATAAGGAGTACTCAGGACCCTAAAACATTTGAAAATGCAGTTCTTAAATCAAGATTTTGAAGCTTATCAGGCAAAGGAATAAATTTTCATCAGCCTCTCCTTGACTTTCATGTTCTACAATGTGGACAGTGGAGCACATTCCATCACGGAGCGTTAAGAAATTTTGGGAGTGATACAGAATAAGCCGCTGGACTAATATAAGTCCTTTTTTTTTTTTTTAAACCTCTTATTTGTCTAGTAGCTCCATTATGGGTAAACTCACCTGCCAACAAATAAATACTTCAAAAAGTTCATCTTAATTGCACCAACACTTAGATGCATCACCATTCACTCCATAAATATTGAAGGCCAAGACTAAATTACCTTTCACACACTGCAGGCACTGTTCCCTGGGATTAAGTGACATCATACGTGCCAATACCCAAATGAACAGAAGAGCCAAAGGAAGATAGTGGTTTTCACAATAGCTTTAGCAAGAATTCATAGGTCGCATTAATTATGCCCCAGGACAGGACAGAACGATGGTAATTCAGATGGGCTCCTCTGAAAAGGTGGATCAGTTTTCTATCACGTTCCAGCCAGATCTTCACAAAAACTTTTGAGAAGGACTGAAATTCACCACCAATTTGAGCTTGCATGCGAGTTTTTACAACATTCACTGGGAAAAACAAGAATCCCAGCATGGCACCCAACAGCCCTCCACAGATAAAGTCATTGACCAAATGAGTGCTGTAAGAAGTTGCTTCAGGCAGACATTGTTTGATAGGTCCCCGCAGGCCAAAGAAGAGTGCATTACTGGGGCCATTTCGAAGCAGAATAGGCACCAATCCCCGATAATACTCTCTCAGCCCATAGACTTTCAGTACCTTGAAAGCCTGGTAAGTGTTTGTAAATTTATCGTGATGTTTGTAGTCCTGAAGCAAAGTCTGAACTCGCTCAAAAGGTGTAAGAACAGCTTCTGTGGTCCCTGCAAGCACTGCTGCCATGCTGCGAGTGAGGAGTTCAGGAGCACTTGTGTGGCTATGGAGCAGGGAGGAGAAATCTTCATATAAGCCAAACATTAGAGCCAGTGTTGTTGTTTTCTGCATTAACGGAGGAAGGATGCCACGATAGAGATTTCGAATCCCATCCTTCTGCAGCTGATGTACTGCATCCTTTGTTTTCAAACCATACAACTGCTGCCGAAAGAGGACCTTCTGGATGGGAAAAGTGACTGCTATATTCGTGAAGGCTGCACAGTAGCCACAAAGATAATGTTTACCAGAGGTAGCCGTTATGTCATTGCTTAGATATTCCTTTGAATTCGTTGGGGCAGAACCTTCTGAATCCATCATACTGTTTTTCTCACGGCAGTATATCTCAGTTTTCCTTCCCTACATCAAAAAAGAAATGAATGAACATGAGCTTTTGCAGCTTTTGTCATGCTAGTGGATCATTCAAACAGCACCTGGTATCTTACATCTGAGGAAAGGTAATAAAATTTGAAGAAGAAAAGCAACAAATGCCAGGTCTGACGGATGTTGCACTGTTTTCTCCTCAAGTCTGAGAGACCTGAAAAAGTGGTAGTTTTTCCTTTCTGTACACTTTCAAATTAAAATAGAAATAAATTGGGAAAGAAATTGAGATATGAACTCCTCAAGTGCTACATGACAGCTGACAAGAGGAAGTTTACACATTAGATTTCCCCATTCACTGCGCCAAGGAATTCAAACAGAGAAAGGTGTACTCTCACATTAATAAAATACACAACACCAGGACAGTGGTGGTAGGGACAGAAGAGAGTCTAAGAAAAAAAGAAATAAAAAAAATAAATAAAATACATGCAGTAGCATTACAAATTCTGATCACTCCACTCTGCCTTTCCCTGTGGCAGAAAAAATTAGATAATTTAAATAACAATTTGTCATGTTTTAACCCGGCCAGCAACCAAGCACCACAAAGCCACTCGTTCACTCTCCCAGCTGTGCCAGTGGGATGGTGGGGAGAATCAGAAGGGTAAAAGCGAGAAAGAAACTCATGGGTTGAGATAAAAACAGTTTAATAATTAAAAAAAAAAAAATTTAAATATTTTGTAAGGGGAAGAAAACAACAACTAGAGAGAGGGAAATA